CTGTTTATTCTTTGGAAATTGTTGTTGTGCATTGTCCCATAAAACAAATGCCAGATACAAACATTTGTAGTGGTCACCCTGGGTGGAATAAACGTTCCACCTGCCTTTGAACTTGACCACGGAAGGTGATGGTTATTATTATTAGTATTTAAAATCGAAAAGAACCCGTTTCCTCGTATATTAACTATATTAATATTAGTCGATATTAATTAGGTTAAATATGAGAAGTTATGTTGGAGGTAATCTCTACAGCGGTGTGACAGTGATAGTTTTCAATCCCACAAACCACAGAACACACTTTCTTGGGAGTCTGAAGCATTTTTTTTATTATAAACAAGGATTTTATGTGTCCAAGCCTCAAAACTTTTATGTAGTGAAAGAACAAAACATGCACCGTGATAAAATCAGTAAAGGTTTTCACTATGTTGAATAAAAGTTAGTCAATAAGCAGCTTGGATCACTGTATGCAAAACAGCATCAGTAATGAAGGCTGACGGCTGACTTTTGTGGTATAAGACGTATAGTGTCACTTCCTGTTTTGCTGCTGGTAGCTTGTGAAATTTGTTTGCTTGAGGACTCTCTTTTACTGGATTATGTAAGTTTTACACATTTCTTCTTTTAGTACATGAAACACTCTCGATACGCTTTCTCCTACTATTGGATTGTGCCAATAGACACTTTTTATCTTTCAACACTTTTTTTTTTATCTAGCATGTTTTATTTGATGTTTACATTTGATTTTGCTGCCTTTTGCATGCTCTACTGCAGAATTTCACTTCTGGAACAGAGGTTGACAAACTGAAAGCATGATCAATCAGTCAATCATCAATCCCATCACGTACAATCCATCATCAATGTCACATGTTGCTGTGAATTCTCAGTCATCCATAGAAGAACATGAAGCAATCAGACATATTTCCTGCAACAAGCAGGGTTTCCAAGCTTTAAACTAATGGAAGAGGTGAATGTGGAAAGAGTTGTTTCTTCTTGTTCAAGCCCCTGCCCCCATGACCCAACTCTGGAACAAATGGCATTTATGGCATGAATGGAGAATCAACATAACTGCAATTTTAACCAATCCTTGACAAATAGAATGACTGATAATTTATTTGTTCTATTTGGAGATGCTTGTCCTCTGGAATCTAACAGGAGGGTGCTGCACCCCTACTTCCTACAGACATGGCACCAGTTCACCTTGATAGCCCCACTTATGGTTGCCATCAGCTCATTAGTCAAACATATTCATTTCTCCAAACTGCAATGATAGAGCTGTTTAAAACTTTTCACAAATATAAATTTAAACCTTAAATGAAACAAAGCAAGTCTTTGCACATACAAATCTCACCATGAGGGAAAATATTTTGTACTATGAATGCAAAATTTGAATAAATGCATTCAGTGTACATATATACAGTATTTTACAGTCTGCTTCATTTAGACAGCTGTTGCCAGAACAATTATGTGCATACTTGCTGCGTATCAATCAAATTTTGATTTGGTCAGTTTGTTGCTTACTTTTCTGAAAATTCAATGAAGCACTACGAGTCATTATAGAGTCAACTTCCATAAAGACAATCAAAATTGGCAGATAAATTAGAGGCTTCGACATGTAGAATAGGAAAATGAACTCATCAGCATTCAAACGTGTGCTCTCTTCATATCCCTTCTTCCTCTGTGGAATTTAGTGTGGAAAAAAATCAGAATATCAGCAGTTCTTTAACAGAATATAAAATGTTGGAATAATGTATATGCAGGACACATCCACATCATAGCGCATAATTTAGAAATGTATCAGGGATGTTATTGGTGGTATCACCAATGCAGGAGAACAGCAGCAGAAAAAAAGAAAAGAATAAAAGGGGGGAATTGAACTGTAACAGCAGACTGAAGATGTTTTGTGTAATATATATATA